TCGCTATACGAATAAAAATAAATTTTGAAAGAACAAAGAGAAAAATAAAAATCCGATGCATTACCTCGATGTCGCCTTCGTCTGCACCAAGTAATGTCCACCAACGGACAAAAATAATACTTCAACACATAGGCTATTGGAGAATGAAATTTTAGATGGGCCATAAAAAAAATTAAATAAATAAAATAAAAATAAAGATAAAAATATTGAAAAGATGCATGAAAAAAGGGTCACTACAATTGCTCTTACAAAATAAAAACCGTCGTATAATGTTGTGTCAATGACACATAAGTAACACACACAAAATATACTCCTTCTTCTATTCGTCTTAAGGATCACATTTACCTTTTGTGTTATATTTTTATAATTTTTTTTGTACAAATGTTCTTCTATTAGTATTATAAGACACTAATTGAAATATTTTTAAAACTTTTTCTTAATTTGTACTACATTTTGATATAATAATTAATATTCAAATATCAATACTTAAAAAATAAATGAGACCATTAGAGCTTGAAGCAGAAATGATATATATATATATATTTATATCTTGCTAGAACCGGTAGAGAAGGTAGTTATTTTATTTATTTATTTATTTATTGTTTTTAATTATATTAAATATTGTATATAATAAATATTTCGGTTTAATTTAATTTAATTTTTTTATTTGTCTCGTTAAAGTTATTTCCAAATATTTTCTGTGGAATGGGAATAGGTCAGACAGTCTGTCAAGGGTCTACAATCTGATCTAGGTCTAGCCTGTCTTGCTCTATTTATTAAAAATATCATGTCAAAAGTTTTTTTAGAAGTTTTTTTTATTTAAATAAAACAGATTTAGACTTTAAAAAAAAAAAAAAAATCTTTTTAATAAACAGAAACACCTATTTATTATTATTTTTTTATAAAAATATTTTTTTATTATTATATATTAAGAATAATTTTTTATTTAATAATAATACTATTATTTATTAAATAATTTTAATTATAAATCTATTAAAAAAAATAGAATTTTTTAACTTTTATATATATTAAATAATTGTATGTACTTTATTTTTTTATTTTTAATACTAAATTTACAAATAAATAAATAAAAATATTATGTAGTATTTTAAATAGGCTTGTAGGCCAGATCAAACTTTTAAAAAGGTCAGACTCAGCCTTTTAAATAAGAAATTTCAAACTTACAGGTCAGACTTAGCCAGATATTTTTAAAACATGTCAGACCTATTTAGCCAAAGTCTGGTCTGACCTACTGTTGCCCTATTTGTCAAGATCTATATTTATATTAGATAAAATAATATATTTGTTGGGTTCAAACACCGACCCCTCACATCACCTGTCACACATGGTTCGACTAGTGTAATTTGTCTGTCAGACCTAGTTTGTAAGGTATTAAATTCGGTTGGAGGTTTAGTCAATACATACTTTCGGATAGCGGCTGCGGGTTCCCAAGCCATAAAATAATAATAATAATAATAATAATACATTTGTTGAAGTGGATGATAAAAATTTGTTCCACAATACGAGATAAGAAAGACTAAACTTTTTGGCAAGACGTGGTGAATAGAGAAAACATTAACAATTTTATTTATCTTGCATTGTGATGATCTTACTATGTTCTTGCAAGAAAAATGGTTAAGCATAAATTTATTTATTTTTATTCATTAATGGAAATGAATGAGGAATGAATATATAGTGTTTTTTTTTTCTGAATTATTTGTATCTTTTTATGAAATATATACAATTTATTATTATTATTATTATTATTATTATTATTATTATTATTATATCGGATAAGGACTTAAATCCCCAATTTCACAAATAAGTTTAGAATCAATCTCTATTTTAAATTATTTTCACTGCAGTCCTTCATTTTAAATGAATGTAAACGGGGTCGGTTCGGGACGGGTTTTGCAGACCCCGAGACCCGTCCCGCTAGAAAATATTAGGCTTCGATACCCGCTTCGCCCCGTTTTCACCTGGCCTCAGGACCCGTCCCGCCCCGAACCCTCCGAGTTCAGAAATCCTTTTTTTTTAAACATATAATAATAAATATTTTTTTAACAATCGAATACTAAAACAAATAGCATTAAAAGCAAATTTTTTTTTTTAAAAAAACAATCAAATATTAATCCATAAAAATAAGATAAATAAATAAATAATATATTTTTATTATATAAATATACATATATTAGGTATAATAATTTTAAAAAATTATTTGGAGCATGCGACTAATTGAATTTTATATTTAAAATTATTTAAGTAAATAAATAATATATTTTTATTATATAAATGTACGTATATATTAGTTATAATAATTTTAAAAAATATCCGGGTTCGGGTCTGGGTCCGAATTGAGGCGGGTTTAGAAAACCCCGTAACCCGCTCCAAACCCGGCCGAATTTTTAAATCCACAACCCGTCCCGAAACATATTATTTAGACCTGAACCCGCCCCATTAAGAGCGGGCCCGGGGCAGATCCGGGGCTAACCCGCCCCATTTGACATCCCTATAATCATTTACATAAACTGTTTTATATAATTCCCTATTCATTTTTTTTTTCTTTTTCATGTATTTATTTATTTTAATCCTCTCTCCCACCTTATCCACTTTTAACCTATCTTTCCAATTGATTTTTTGTGCGAAATTTTGGTATCACTCCTCCGCCTTTTGACACGCTCGACCACCAACTCGCGGGCGGTCTCCGGTGATTTAGAAGCTATCTGATGCGGCAAATTGTGGTATTTCAATAGGAGGTCGGAATGTTTTGTTTATACAATTGTATTACAGTATTTATTGTTTTCCGGCGGAGTTTAATTAATGGTAGTGGTGTGCGTGTGTTGGCGCGGGTTTTCAATAAGTTCCTACGGTGAGGATTATTATGTTATAAGTCAAAATATATCTTAAAAAAAATATTTGTCTTATGTTATTTTATGAGAGCGAATTCAAATTGCATCAACTGTTTAATAATATTATATTAGCGGGAGTATAGTCTAATACTGAAAAATATTTTAACTAAATTCTTTATGACTTCGTTACCATCCATTAGTATGTATTGATCATTTATTCTATATGTATGATTGTGTTTTCCCATTAAATTTTTGTAAACGTATGTATACTATTTACATTTTAATACTCTTCAATAAGCGATGAGAATACTATCATATTGAATTTATCTTTTGATACCATTAACGAAAGAATATATGATACCCAAAATGATCGATTTCTCAAGTAGAAGTTCATCGGGTAACTTATATATAAGGTATTCGCCGTAAATACCGGATATCCGTAAATACCAGCCAGTCAATCATCACTCATCAGTATTGCATTTTTTTTATAATTTCTTAAAATAAAATATATTAAAATTTTAAATTTCATAAAAATATTACACAATTTATAAATATAAGGTATGCAAAAAATATTATATTTATAAAACTATAAGATATATAAAAAAGTAAAATAAGAAGAATTGATAAAAAAAAAAAAAAAAGTGATGTGATAAGTATAACTAGAAAGAATATCTGAACCGAACCATCAAAATGTTAAACCGAACTTATTCGAACCGAATTTTTTATTAATCGAGAAAATTTAGTTTGAATACAAATATTGTATATTTGATATTTGATATTTGTTTGATTTGGTTCGATTTCAATTTTTAACATCATTTTGTTCGATTAATCGAACTAAATATATTTATATTTATTATATTTCAAAATTCATATTAATAATTATATTATAATTGAATTTGGTTCGGTTCACTTCAATTTGAAATATTAATTATTTTGTAACCTAGTTTTCAAAAATTCTATTAGATTTGAATTATTTACACATACTAGAAAAATTTTTGATTAATTGAAATTTCGGTCAAATGCTTTTTACAATTTTGAGTATTTGTTTGATTATGTTCGTATGCCCTTACCTGCATGTCTAGAAATATCCAAATCGTGTCTATCCCTAGTAAAAATTAGTGTCAAATTGATTGTTATTTTTTAAAGTGATATAATTAAATTAGAAGTGATTAAAATTGTTTTAATCGATAAATAAGATAATTTTTTAACTACTAATACGAAAAAAAAATTAAAATATAAATATTCACATTTATAAATAAAATAATATATACTTATATAAAAATATAAATAAAAATATAATAAAGAAAATATAAACATAAATTATTCGGTCGGTGAAAATTTTAAATTTAAAATTATTAAAATAATTTGAATCAGATAATTAATTCTGATAGAAAAAATTAAAAAAATACAAAAAATAATAAAAAAATACAAAAAATAGAAGAAAAAATAAATATAAAATATAAATTGAATATAAAAGCCTGAATATAGAATGATAAACTGCACCGACAATAGTAACTAGAATATAAAAAATATAATCTTTTAGAATATATAAGATATATTTTGTCATTCAAGTAAATAATAGACAAATTTGATAATTTAATATATAAAAAATATATTTTACAATTTTTTATAATTTTCTACTTCATCCGATAATAAAATATAATTCTAATTATTATTTATATTTATTTTTTTAAATACATAAAAGGTAGACATAACGTAAATAGAAGTATATAAATGGAATGTTTAAGTAGAGTAAAAATAATATAAATAGAGCGGAATAATTATAAATATATAAAATAACATTAAGAGCATTTGAATACATCAAATTTATACTATGTAGGAAAAATATGAAATATGGGCTAATATTAAACTAGAGGTGTATTTGTTTGGGGGATTGGATTTCCAATCCACTGTTCGTTCCATTTTTTTTTTTCCTAAAAATATCAAATTGAATATCTATTTTTTATTTTTTATATTATATTAAAAATCAATTTTACATTCAAAATATCACATCAACACCTATTTATATCACATTATACAACTATTCAAATTCAAAATTTTTACTATTCAAATCCCAGATAAAAATCCAAACCCCCCAAACAAACACACCCTTAACATAAAGGAGAGAGTGCCAATCAAAAGAGCCATTGATCGCCTCGACGACGTCGTTTAGACTGTCCATACCCCAATTCTTCCCCCGGCTGCTTAAACCCTAACGACGACGAACGCGAGAGGCTGATCGCACGAATTACTCAAGGAAATGTCCTCTTCACTACTGAAAAGATTACACAAAAGTTGGAATTGCAGTCGGTTTCTCGAAACTAATGCGCTCACCCGTTTGTTGCATTCGTGCAGTGAATCGTATTTCCGAATTTTATCTTCTCCGGTACATAATCAGTTCGTTTCAGGTTTAGGAAATCCTGCTTTCCTGACCAGAAAGAATAGCCCGTCGCATTTCTGTGAGAATACGAGTACCCTGCTTGGATCCAATTTTAGTCGATGTTTGAGCTCACAGGCTGCTGCGGAGGCATCGACGTCCGATGGACTAACCGTGCAAGGAATCATTGTGAATAATTGGGTCATTTATGATGAAAACGAGAGCGATTGGAAGAGCCACGCCTCCGCCATTGCTCAGTCCATTTACCTCATCAAAAAACGCCTAAGAGTACGTTTCGTAGATTTGAATAGCTCTTATCGTATTTTGATATTAATAGCTGGTTTTTATAAATTGATTCAAAAACTACAACTCAAACTTGCTGTTTTGATTGAATGCAATATTTTGATTCCGTTGAATGTCAATATGTTGCAGTACCGTTGTTTCGTGAACTTATTCATTTATGTTTACTACTTATTAGTTCATATGGATGGATACAGATGAAGAATAATGTATAGTCGATCCATTATACTTAAATTTAGATTTTGTGGGAGCATCTTGGACTGGATTCAGATTAATTGAAGTTGCGAAAGCTATGTGCTTGTTTAGGGTGAATGTTATAATTTTTAATGTTGATATGTTGATATGTGATTTGTTTGAGTCGATTAACGCTTTCGCTTTTTGTTTATTTGATTGTAAAAATAATATTCAATTGGTTTTTGGGTGACAGTGGAAAAAATTAATGCCTAGACTCGAGACATTATCAGAACAGTTGAATAAGCCTGATCTGTGGGATGATACTGCACGTGCAGGAAAGATAAGCCGCATGCATGGTTCAATCATGTCTAAAATTAAAGAGGTCCAGGTTTTTGAGCAAGAATTATTTGAACATATCGACATGATCAAGCTTGCTCGTGAAGAAAATGATGCAGAATTGGAATTGGTCTGGCCTCATGGTTTTGGTTATTTATGAACATATATATATATTATTATTTATTTATTCGGTGATGGGCATGTGAAGCTTGAACATACTCCTGATGCAACCTGTTGTTCTTTTGATATCAGGAGTCAATGCAAGCTCTACTTGCACTCAGAAGACAGGTTAAAGAAAAAGAGCTTGAAGCTTTGTTGTCGGGGGAACACGACTCTTGTTCTTGTTTCATAGAGGTGAAATTATGCATGGACTTTATCCCACTCAAAATCAAACTGCTCATTTATTTATTTATTTATTTTTATTAGTTGCTGCCTTATGAAAGTTAAATTGTCAATTTGTTTACCTTGTTGCTTTGCAAGATCCAATGTTGAAAGTAATTTTGTGAATGACAGGTTCAGGCAGGAGCAGGCGGCACTGAGAGCATGGACTGGGCTGCAATGGTAATGCAGATGTACAGAAAGTGGGCCGAAGCTCGAGGATTTGGGGTCAGTGTTGTGGATGAAATGCAGGGTGAACTTGCAGGAATCAAGGTTCGTATTCTTTAGACCTTGTAAATATTTAAGAACTCGTATTATAAAATGCATGCACATAGTTACATCCCTCGCTGACATTTTTTGTTGTTAAGTTTGGGATGAAAAATTAATCTATAATAGATCCACATATTGTAAGTCCGGTGAAGGCGTGTTTGTTAGTATAAAGTCAGATTTTATGTTTGCGTTGCTAATGTAGATTTTGTGCAACACAAAGTCATAAAGTGATGATTTGTAAGGCTAGTTTTATCATTGTAAGTGTTTTTCTAATTTAGTTCCATACTATTACAAATTTTATCTTTGATCTCTTAATTTACTACGAGCTCTTTGTGTGGCTTAAAATGCAATTGTTTTTACGTTAATTGTAGTGAAGTTATTTTTGTATTATTTTGATCTTTTGACTTTAATAATAAGATTTAGTTTATGTTAATCCATTTTTTTTTTTCTATTCAATGCTTTTAGCGCGCCACAATCAAAGTTGATGGGGAGTATGCATTTGGATATGCCAAAGCCGAAGTTGGTGCACACCGTTTAGTACGGATATCCCCATTTGACAGCAACAAACGAAGGCATACCTCATTTGCTTCTGTAGCTGTAATCCCAATCCTGGGCGAAGGATTTTCCCATTTTCAAATCAATGAGTCCGATTTACGGATTGAACGATTCCGATCAGGAGGACCTGGAGGTCAGCATGCCAACACAACTGATAGTGCTGTGCGGATTACTCACATCCCTACCGGAATCACTGCCACTAGTCAAAGTGAAAGGCATGGAAGAAACCTTCGATTTCATCTCATTGATCTATTGGTAAATCACTTTTTGGTTTATGAATTGCTTATAGCATTTTGGTTTTTAAACTAAAAAAGGTAGCACTATTATCCCTCACATGGTATTGCATGGTGGTCTTGTGCTTTTGGCTATTTTTTCGAAAAATCTCACCAGTTTTTAGCTTGTTCGTTTCTCATCTATAGCTAGCTGATTCACATCAAATATCTTTGCTTATAAAGTACTCCCTCCGTCCCTTTATTAAATGGGCCATTTAGAGTTTTTTTTAGTATATTAAAAAATATTAGTATTTTATTGGTGGGTGGAAGTGTACAAGAGATTTTGACATTTTTGCCTTTTGATTTTATGTATAAAGTAATTGTATGTGTAATGATATGTTTGTAATTTAAGTAAAAACTAAATGTATTTTGGTATTAGTGTATGATTATTTTTTTAAAAATATAAAAATGAATATTTTGAAATAGGACAACGAAAATGGTAAAAAAAATATTTTGAATTGGGACGGAGGGAATAGATCTTACATATGAATTAATCAGAGGGTGAATGTTTTTTAATGTGATATTATTTGTCAAAGGAATTCTAAGTGAATTTCCGTGAAGAATATTTACTATGTGAGAGAAGTGATTGTGTTACTCTTTTCAGTTTAAAAATTAAAGTGCTACAAGTGACCAAAAAAGTGATTTTGCCCTTAAAATTAGCAATCTTTAAATTAACATTTTTGTGGTGTTGTAGATCACAACATCAAAATCGAGTATCGGCCATGGCTGTGCTTCAGTCTCGTCTAGATCAGCTTGAGATGGAGCGTCAAGCTCAGATAAATGCAGAGCACACCGTGTCCCTCACGGACATAAACTTTGGCAGCCAAATACGCTCCTACGTGCTTCATGTACACACTATCTATCTAAACTTGACCTGTTTTGTCATCAAAATGCTTGCTTAATGAATGCATAAATTTATTAGATGCTTCATGTGCAACACCACACCCAATTGATACATTTTTTCCGGAAAACTTGGCAGCCGTATAGAATGGTGAAGGATCATCGCACTAACTACGAGGTGTCGGATCCTGATTCTGTCCTGCAAGGTGATCTTGATGGCTTTATCTTGAGCTTCCTCTCGGCCTCTCTCGACAAAGATGAAGATGAAAATGACGGAGATGCTTGAGCTACGCGCGGTACTTTCTTTCTTCTGTATTCTATACCTTAAGTGTACATAGCATAGACCATACCATGTTTGTGTTTGTTTTTGTTTTCGTAGTATCCTGGATTTTGGGGCATTTTTTCGAATCCATTGGGGTTTGGTTGACTGTAGTATGATTTTGATGAGTTCATTTGATCTTATCTGATCTGATCTGATCAGATCATTTGGACGTCCTCTGTTCTGTTTCTTATTTTACATGTATGGGTATATGGGGTATGTGTAATAAATATGCATACATACATATACTATATATATATATATATACTAGTATCGTATTTTTGAGTTTCTTGTCATTATTCTTGCAGTAGTATAATTTCCTTGCTCAAGTTTTTGGCATTTGGATTGGATTGGATTTGTGGATGATATCTACTAGGTGTATTTATATTTGTATTTGTATTGCTCAGGAGGTTCTTTTTTGGAGAAGACAAGTAAGACACTGATCTGGAAGAGATGTAGTGTCTTTATATTTCAAAACTAGAAACAAATTACGGGAGAAGACGAAAATAGAAAATGTAAGACAAATGGGGAGGGTAATAATGATGTTGGGAGTCATAGGTAAGATAGAACATGACACGACTAGAGCTGTTAAACGAACCGAGTCGTTCATGAACTCGGCTCGGTTAAAGCTCGTTCGCGAAAGTTAACGAGCCGAGCCGAACAACATAAACAGGCTCTCATTTGGTTAACGAACGAACCCAAGTTTTGTTAGCGAACATTCGTTTAAATAGTATATATATATTATAAATGTTATATATAAAATAATTTTAAATTTTCTTTTTAATTTATATATAAATTTTAAAAAATGAGACAAACGAACTCGAACAAGCTTAATCGAACCGAACACGAGCTCAAACAAAAAAAATTCTTAACGAGCCGAGGTTGAACACTGAACGAGCTTAAAAGTTTAACGAACGAACACAGGTTTTGTTCGCGAATGTTAACGAAAACGAACTCGAACAAACTTAATCGAACCGAACACGAGCTCAAACAAAAAAAATTCTTAACGAGCCGAGGTTGAACACTGAACGAGCTTAAAAGTTTAACGAACGAACACAGGTTTTGTTCGCGAATGTTAACGAAAACGAACTCGAACAAACTTAATCGAACCGAACACGAGCTCAAACAAAAAAAATTCTTAACGAGTCGAGGTTGAACACTGAACGAGCTTAAAAGCTTAACGAACGAACACGGGTTTTGTTCGCGAACGTTAACGAACACTTAAAATTTGGCTCAGCTCGGTTCGTTAACAGCTCTAGACACAAATATAGAGAAAAAAACGAACAACCTCTGTTAAGATCGACTCAGGCCCAGCTTCTTCGATAAAATTCACTTGCTAATTGTGCCAGTAATTACCTGTGCTCTAATAGTTGGTCTCTTCTGAATCAAAACTGATCTTTACCCTAAGATAACCAAACAAATCTCATCAAACAAACCCTTTGGGGACGAAGATGGAGATGGCAAACAAAATATAAATACCATCGAACACAGAAGTAGATGAACGATTTAAATACATCGACAGACACGCTACAAACAACGTGCATTATAAAAATGATCATCCAAATATAAACATCAACCTCAACATCACATAATCTTGAATTTCCTCAATATAAACGTAAAAAGAAAAAAATGATCAGGCCGATTGCTATGCATAATTTAGACAACAAAAAGACCCAAGTTCCGAAACACACGTAATTGATCATAAAAGCATATGAATCTGAAACAAAACTGTAGATAGATAGATAAAATGTGGTCTTATTATTTATTACCTAAGAAAAATGAATCCCGGCTTTGTTAAATAGAGAAAGCAGATGCATAAAATCCGCTTGTGTCAGCTTCGCCGCTCTTTTATCCTCAAAACATCCTTGTTTCAATACACTCGTTACTTTCTCCTTAAAATCCGAGGCTGCCATTGTCTCCTCATCATCCATTTCTATGTCTTCTTCCTCACAATCCTTTCTGTCATCAGTGTCCATGCTCATGTCGCCGAGGGTGTCCCCCAAAGCAGACAAGCACACTGCCATTTCTTTGTCGTCAGAAATTCCATCCGGGGTCAGCTGCAAAGCCTGCAAGGTTTTATAGTTCTTCTCCAACAATGAGATGACGGTCTTTTGCTTAAATATGGCGCCAAGAGTTTTGTTTTTCCGGTTGAAGCATATCCGAACCAAGCCATCCCACTCTTTGAAATTTACAGGGGGGAGAGGTTTCCTTGGCTCGATTCGGACTACTGAAGAATCCACCTTTGGTGGAGGCCGGAAATTGTTCCTTCCCACTTTCAGTAAGTGGTTAACTCGAGCCAAGAGCTGAGTGTTGACTGAAAGACGGCAGTATAGATTGTCGCCAGGCTGAGCGACGAGCCTCATGGCAAATTCCCTTTGGAACATTATTACTGCGCATCGGAATAATGGGCGATGGGACAATAATTTGAACGTGAGTGGAGATGAAATCTGATATGGGATGTTCGCAACGCAGATGTCAAAGTAGGGAAGATCGCATTTCAGAACATCTCCTTGAATTACCTGAAGCACAGAAATAATAACCGAAATAACTTATCAATACTTCACTACAAAGTTTAGGCTCTATTGACCCCATTATTTCCATTTAAAACCATCATATCGAATAGCAAATACTATTTCAATTCAAATATTTTGTATTTCTCAACCGCAAACCTAAATCCAACTTTAATAAATCCTTAATACAAAGTTTAGACTCTATTTTTGCCGATTTTTCCATCTAAAACCATAATATCAAATACTATTTCAATTCAAATTCTTAGTTTCCCGAACCCCAAACCTAAATCCAAACCTTAATAAACCCTTAATACAAAGTTTAGGCTCTACTTATCCCGAATTTCCATCTAAAATCATAATATCATATACTATTTTAATTCTAATTCTTAGGATTCCCGAACCCCAAACCTTAATAAACCCTTAATACAAAGTTTAGGCTCTACTTATCCCGATTTTTCCATCCAAAACCATCATATCAAATACGATTTCAAACCATAAATATAGAATTTAGGCTCTATTTCTTTTAAGGATCGATTTCGATTCTACATTCTTCATTAAAAGCCATGGCATCAAACATTCTCAATCATATACTGTTTCAATACAAATGTTTACTATTCTTGAACCCCAAAACCAAATTCAAACTAAACATCACAGATGGAAATGACAGTTCCTCAAATCGACTGTGTTAATGAATAGAGTTCATAACATGTAGAGCTTGTTAACATGATGAAATTAATCTTCAATAAAGTCAAACAAGAATCATTTCATGTATTCAAATTCATCCAAAAAGAAGTTAAGATTCCACAATTGATTTTAAAATTTCAAAACGACAAAACTTGGAGTAAAGAACTTTCACAAGGGAATTGCAAGGCGCACCTTCAGGCGACTCGACGAGGGGGTTCCTTGAAAACGACGTTGTAATTCGAGAACCATACGCGGATCAAGCTCCACCGCGATGACTGATTTCCCAGCTTCAAGGAGCTTCTTCGTGAGATTCCCCGTACCTGGACCGATCTCGAGTATGACATCGGTAGGTTTGATTCCGGATTTCTGAATAATCGAATCGACCAACAGCGGATTTTTCAGTATGTGCTGGCCTTTCGACTTGTGGAAGGGAATCCCTCCCTGAAAGTGGGGACTCGACGCCGCAGTGGCACCTCCCCTGTGCGGCTTCTCTTTCCTAATTTTCCCTCCCGCCATTGATGCTTCCGACGCTCTCTTATAGGTTTAGGGTTAGGGTTATGGAATCAAGTTTTGTAAGTCGAGGAAGGAGGAAGAAAGAAAAGAATTGGGGACGGCGACTGTGAAGAAGGAGTAAAGAAGAAAGGGAGAAAGGAAATAATTGGGGAAGAAGAAAATACAGGAAGAACGGTGTGGCTGCGGCGGCGCCTGTGAAGAAGAAGAAGAAAGAAGAAAGGAAGAATTAGGGAAGAAGAAGAAGACGGAGGAGAACCTAACCTGGCGCGGCGGCGGCCTGTGGAGTGAATGTATTAGGGCAAAAATTATTAGTATATATTATAATATTGTTAGAAAATAAAAATAATAGTATTAATATTAATAAAAATAAAAATAAAAATAAAAATAGATCATTATTAATGATACTAAAAAATATATTATATGTTATATTTATATTTTAAATTTTATAATTTTTATTATATAATTATATTTAATTTAAATTATATATATTAATAATATTTTTTATAATTTATTTTAATTTTAATTTTATTATTTATTAAATTTAATATTTAATTATTTTTATATTATAACAACTAATTAATTATTATTTGTATAATTTTTACATAATACATACATTATAAATATATATTTAAATAAAACTAAAATTAAAATTAATTGTTTGTTAATAAAATTTAAATTTGAAAAATTAGAAAATAAAAATATATATGTTAAAAATAAATATACATAAATTAGTTTGATAGATTCTAAGTCTTCAGATCCCTTTGCTGACGTGCATGGAGTGTCTCCAAATGTAAACTGCAAATTACAAATTTAGTTAGCCAAATTAAAATCTGCCATATTGAAGAAGCCATAAGAAAAACAAATCCAAGCTACAAGAAGTAAGATTCAAAGTATCTGCACAAATAGCTTAAGTTTGTTTCTTTTGCACCAAACTTTCAATTTTTTACTATGTGAATAATGCGTTACTCGAAAAAAATACATTTTTTTCCTCACAAAACATCTCATCAAATATTATTTTAATACAAAATTCAAACTAAATATTTTTTCAAATCAATCAAAAGAAACGCTAATAATAAGCATGCCATGCCCTGTCTTTGACTCATGGATCCCTAATGAATCTAATCACAATATGTTTTCTTGCTTGAATTATAATAATTTTTATGAACAAGGGATCAAGGATGTGTCAAACCTTTAAGGAAGTGTAGCATCAGAAGCAACATGCTCGCTGTCGACATTTTCCAAATCAAACTCAAGTCGAAGTGCTGATATGAGTTCAGGAGATACAGTCGGTCGAGGCTTAGCCCAAACACCATCCGAGTCATTGTTATTCACCTTTTTGATGGCTTTTTCTTGTTCTGGTTCTGTTCCCGAATCCCATCCTCTGTAGAGGACTACTTTGCTAGGTTCTTGGGATACAAGAATGGCACCGGTAGCTTGCTGAGAGGACAAGATGGAAATTAGTAATTTCTTTGATTTTTGTAATGTGAATATGATCAAAACTTAAATTCGAAATGTAGTGGCTACAGACCTCCAGATTGTATATCACCTCTTGTGCTGATGTACCTTTGGCTCTGCCTTTGATGTTCACAACAACGAGAGGGTGCTTTTCAAAGTGCGCTTTTATTGCTTTGGCAACTCCGGTGACGACATTGCTCTTTCCTGTGACAGAAGTGATGAAAATCAATAAGCATGACAAGGTATTCCCGATCATAATTTCAAATTTGGCCAGCAACAAAGAAGAAGCTTCATTATGAATTTAACAGAGCTAAAATGGGGATTACCGACTGCAAGCAAAGGTGCTTTTTTCATCTTCAGTGCCCGCTTTCTTAGAATCAATCTCTCTCTGTTAGAAAGCTGTGTCGCTCTTAACGGCATCAATGGTGGCTTCACATCTGTAGCTTTCTCTGCACAAGGTGGTTCTAGTTCAGAGTTCTCACGACCATGGACATGGGAATCTCCACCTCTCGATTCAGGCTGGTGGTAAGTAGTGGTTGAAGATCTTGTTTGGTATTGAGACTAAAATCAACAAAGGATGTTTCAAATTTGTTACAATAAAGATGATGAAAATATAGGCAGGACACATGAAATGTAAGATATTACCCGGCGAGGGTGTAAGAGTTTTGTGTTTCCACTTTGCCTGTTTAGGTTCAGAAAACCTTCTGGTCTTTTTGGTAAGGGTTGCTGTCGAATCTCTGTTTCAGTAGTTTCAAACAAATAATGTCGATCAATATGCAGAGAATCTTTTGGAGTGTGCATAAAATCCTCAGGCTCAGTAGAGGCCACATCAGTGCTCCGGCATTCAATAGCCTTCAGCGATTTTAGCCGAATAAATCATCAGATAAGTGAATTTCGAGTGTCTCTTGTCGATGAAAGGAAAAAGAAATAAGATGTATACAAGTGTTTTACTCAGAGTGGCTCCTCGAACTTTACCTCTGCGACGCTGTCCTCAGAGATCGACTCGTAATCAATTTCAGGATCTTCGTGAGTTGCATTGTTATCTATTTCATTAATCTCATTCTCAATCTGGATCGAGGACATACAAAATGCATCGGTAAGTGGTGGAAATGGCGAAAGCACAAATACAACAGATATAACTTACAACATGTTCCTGATCTTCTGTCGACCGTGTATCATTTGCATCTTCATCTTTGGCCTGAATCCAGGTTTACTTTAATTAATACTATAAAACTTTGCAACTTATCTACGATCATTTTCAGTTATATTCAAGAAAAATTGTACCATTTTCAGCTTCATTTCATCGATATCCCTGCTGAGCTTTAGAACGCGTAATTGTAAGGACTGCATTCAAAGATAAGAAATTTGTCTATGTCAGTAGAACACGATCAATGGCCTGAAATGCAAGTAATCCCAAAGTAAAAAATCGAAAGATAGTCAGAAAAGAAATGAAACGGATTAAAACAAAGCCGTTTGTGTCTCACTTAACAGACATAACTATACCTCACGGCGTTGTGCTTCTTTCGAACGTTTCAGCGCTTCCCTTTTGCTTAAAAGTGTTCTAGGCCTCAAAGAAGCTGGGCGCGTATAGTTTTTTCCACGATAAACAATGATTGCAAAACCTTTACTGACTCGCTCAATTGCTACAAGAATTCCACCACTTTCGGCTTCTAAAGTCCGAGCTATTTCATGTATCTCATTATAGCTCCCTCTGCCAACACATATCTTCACCAGTTCCCTGTATTTCCAATGCAGGTGCATGTTTTCGACTGTTCCATCAAAAACTCCTCGCCGACCTGAAATGTTCTTAAATTCGCCTAGATTACACTAATTCAAAGATTATTGAATAATGACGGCACAATAAATTCTCACAAACAATACTCACCCAGGAGAAGGAATGGTTTCATCCTCAGACCGACTTTTCTCAACATGTATCTTTCTTCTTCGGTAATGCCCTCTTTATCTGTTTCGGGTTTCTGAGGTTTCTCTTCCTCCTTCAGCCTTGCTAAAAGCTTCTCTGCCCTTGCCTTTTTCTCTAAGGCCTTCAACGATCAAAAGTCAGTAGAATATGAGGAAAGAAGAGATGATAAAGAATCGGAAGATTTTGGACACTGAGTGATGCCTACCAAGGACAATTTGGTGTTGGTTCTCTCGACGGCAGCCTCTGAGAACCTCAGCTTCCTTTTACCGAAATGGCCTGTTAAATTTGGGTCATTTTCTTCATCTTCCTCGGTATCAGCATCTTTGTTTCCATGCTCATGTTCCTTTGAATTGTTCGTTCTAGTTTCTGACATACCCATCCCGTATTTCCTCCGCTCTTCTATAGCTGAAGACACTGCAGCCGGCAAGAAATCCTTCCCTCGGTAGAAAACAATGAATTCTCTGTCTCTTGCAAGTAAAGTTCCCCCAGTCAGCCGCTACAAGAGTTCGTCTCTAGTATATTAGTGCCTTTTAAGATAGTTTCGACAATAAGCTACAAAAACATGTTACATTCACTGTACAATAGCTCGATGATTACCAAAATAATCGAATATTTACAGCAGAACATCTTGTGCGCATACTTGATAAATAAAATATTGATTACGGTACCAGAATATATCACAAACCTTTAGCTCCTCGGCCATCATTTCGCTGTTTGTGTTCTGAACTCCTCTCTTCACAGCAATTTTTGCAATTTCACTTTTTTCCCAGAGCTTCACCATTGAAGCTGCCAAGCCTTGCAGTCTCCTATTTCTGCCTGAGGTAAATGCCATTGAAGCAATTAAGTTTAGAAGAATTTATGATATAATTTGGCTCCGATCCAAATAACTTCCCATCTGAATCTCAGCCAGCAATAAAATCAGCTCTATGATACTTAGAGTTCACCTTACCTTAAATACCAATCGGCAAAGGGTAAACTGATTTTTTTAACCAGTAACTGGAACTTTTTATCATTTTAGTCTCGTAACTTGTAAATTAGTCCACTAAGTGAAAAATTTTACACTTTTAGTCCTTCGATGCCAGAGATGTCTACGTAACACCCATGTGACTCGCCGGAAGACATGTGTCCGTCAGGTCAATGACACCAGACGGACACGTGGATTTTTTAAAGAAAAAATTTAAAATTATTATTTATTTTATCTTTTTTGTAAAAATTAAAAATTTTCAAAAGAAAGAATTGAAAATTAAAATAATAAAAATCCATGTGTCCGCCAGATGTTGCTAACCTAGCGGGCACATGTCCTCCGGCGAACCACATAGGCATCTCCAACACCGGAGAACTAAAATTGCAAAAATTATTCGTTTACAGGACTAGTTGGCTACAAACTTCAATTACGAAACTAAAATAATAAAAGAATCAATTAGACGTATATAAGAAATAAAACAAAAATTAAAAAATATATATACATATATTCTCATCAAAAGCTGATCAAGGCTCTATATAGACTTATTCCAAAGAATCCACAATTCTCAGAAGGGAGAAGAACTAACCTAAAGCAAAATGGCATGGCAAAGGTCGGCCAAGTCTCCGTAATGTATTCATCTCATCATTAGTGAGTTTAGGTTTAACCCCGTATGGAAGCAGGCGGAAGGGTCTCCGGTATCCAGGAACTACAGCTGGCAACAAATCAGCATCAATAGGCAAAGGATCATTCCCCCACCAATCGGTAAAACGAGGGCCAAGTCCTTCTAGCAAAGTGTCGGCTTCTTCCACAATTTGTAGCTCCCCTGGAAGCTGGAATCGCACCCTATTTGGCAAACCCACCCCTTGCACCAGTTTTGGATCAGATATCCGAACATCAGAATCCTGCCCAGGACATTCTACAGCATTTGTTGCCGACAATGGTGCTTGACTCAGTGTTGTTTGACTGTTGTCCATATCAGGAGATTCCTCAGAAGATGTTTCATCTTCTAAACTATCAGTTATAAAGTATGGATATTTGTAATTAGACCCTCGGTACAATATTATGTTACTTCCAGATCTCCAAACAACTAGGCCTCCTGTTTTTCTCTGAAACCATTCCCAATAATTCAGTGTCAGGTGAAACATATTACATTGGGACAGTCGAAAATCTACTTTTCACAAATAATTTGCAAAGGGAGATAAGCATTCTTCATTTCAATATTGCCTAATAGTAATCCAAAGGATGGACAATTCGATGCCATAGCTGCACTTAAATTACGACACACTTCAACCCAACATATAAATTCTCAATAATTCCTCAATAAAGAGAAAAGATCTACAGATGTGATAACAATAAAGTTTAACAGTATACACTTCTATTCAGTTAAAATCCCTTCAAATATCGATGAACAAAACAAAACTTCAACTCTCTTTAAATAAGATTCGGCATTAATAAATTCACTTTTCCATTAAAAAAAAAAAAACTAGTGGCAAATCCTAGATTCCTTAAGCCCCTTCTTGCTATACACCCAAATATATTTTTTCATCAGCCATTATCTCTTTCCGTGATGCACAATAGGACATTCATCAAAGATTCAAATATGCCATATTTATTGAGATATTAGAACTTCAACATTCATGATCCCCTTTTGCTACATTTCGAGGTTCGTATTTGTTTGTGTTAGAGAAATCCAAATTGAAAAATAAATAATTCATTTTTCTTTAATCTCATTTTCCTCCCGTGTACAAATAAACGAAGAGAAATAAAAATTGAGAAACACTGCCACTTTATTCATTTGATAATCTTATTTCAGTTTTCATATATAACCTTTATAATTCTTTATAAAAATACATTACTCAATTTTACAAAAGTATCACATTCAAATTACTATTCAAATCAAAAATCAAAACAAAAACTAATATATATATATATAACAATACCAAGTAAAAACGTAAAAACATCAATATCTATCTTTTACTTGATTTATAGTCTCATTTTATTAATTATCATGCAATACATTGTCTCCTCCAAATTGATTCATCTCTCATTTCGATCATATTATTTTATTGAAATTTCTAAATTACCAAACGGAATTATCAATTTGTATTCTATATTCACTCTTTCACTCTAATTTTTCTCAGTAATTCTATTGTATGCACCAAACGCAGATGGTTCTTTCGAACTTCAAGTAGAACTTCAAAATTGATGATCCTTTTACATCTTCACAGTTCACACCAGGCCTAATTGCTTAAGCTTTTGAAACTAAAATTGCTCAAGATTGCTTGCTGAAAATGGTTTAATTCACAGAAAAATGGAATAGAAATTCGACAGAGATCTAACCTCCAATAACTGATGAGTCCTCTTCATGTTCAGCCTGCATATATCCTCGCAAGTGATTTTCACCAGCTCAGAGCGCCTCCATCGTTCGTGAATCCCATTCACAATCCCCTCTGTGATCCCAGCTTTCCCCACCTTCAACTTCTTCCTCAGCCCAATGCCGATCGTAGTGAGCCTCGCCAGTTCCTCCTTCGGCAACGTAAGCTCCGCCAATGTCGGCACCTTCTCCAACTTTCCCTCGCGACGTTTTTTGATTCTCTCTTTCTCTCTCTCTTTCTCCTCCGCCAAAACCCCGCGCCTTAACTCGTGAAACCTCTGCATCGCGTTCCCCGCCCCGGGTTCAGGAACCGGGTTACCCGGCGTGCTCCAGCTCGGGTCCAGAGTATGCCCGACCCGTTTGATCGGTAAACGGGTCCGCAGCGGAACAAATATTTCTCCGGGGGAATTCCGGCCGGTGGCTGCACTTTCGTCCGATTCGGGGCGGTTGCCGCCGCTTTTCTCTGCATACCCAAGGCTACGAAGCTTCTCTGCTATTCGACGAATTTCGGATTGGGGAAGAACTCGAGTGTCGGCTGCGAGTGCCGCGGCGGAAATCGACGTTGGCCGACGGAGAGATTTGAATTGAACTACTGAACGGCGACGGCATTGAATTTGCAGCGAGGGTTTGATAAGGGTTTGGGAGGAGAGAGACGGGAACTGGTGATTGGAATTGCAGAGAGGAAGCAACATGTTCTGGTGGAATGAATCTTCCTGAAGAACAAACGGATAAATTCCGTCAACGGCGGCTCACACAAACACAGTCGGATTTCTGGATGAGTGGATTCTAAGTTCCTTAAATTGCATTTTAGTCCCCAGGTTTAGCACAAACCTCTACAAATATCTGTGGTGTTAAAAAAAATAGTAAAAACAGAGACAAATATCTGTGGTGTTGTTAAAACATAGTAAAAATATCTGGAGGAATTTGGAAAAAAATATATTACCTCTCTCCCGCAAAAAGAGTAATATTTAATTTTTATACGTAAGTTTTTTAATATTAGTATTATATTGGTTTATAGTGAAAAAGATAAAATTGTCCCATTAAATTGTGTGATAAAAAATTAAGGACATTTGTGTAATATATTGAAAGTTGTAAATGTACTAATTATGTTAGGTATATCTTTTATTGGGACAAATAAAAATAAAAACTACTATCTTTTTATGGGACGGAGGGAGTAAAAAGATTTGGTGGGTGCAATGGATATGTATATACACCCAATAACATATGCAGGTGGTATTCGATGAGTACACCCTCCATAAATCTTTAATCGAACCTAATAGCCTGCAGTCATACGATATGTTCGTTCATAAAATTTTCCCAAAAATCTATTATTCATTAATTTTTTCTCCTAAAGATATCAAATCAAATATTTATTTTTAATTTTTTATATTATATTAAAAATTATATCAGCATCTATTTATATCACAATCAAACAAATATTTCAATTCAAAATTTTTATTATTCAACTCTCAAACCCAAAACCAAATCCACAAACAAAGACACCCATAGTATATTAACTACTCCCTCCGTCCCAATACAATAGTCTTGTTTACCATTTTTTTTCTGTCTCAAAATAATAGTCTTATTTTCATAAATAATCATATCACTATAAAACTACCCTTACTTTTTTATTTTTATTACACAATTGTCGCTACTTTCTACACTAATACACTCAGGAGCAAAAAAGTTTTTTATCAATATTTATTATCAACTACCAATATAATATCAATATTCTTTAAATCTCGTATTCAACCCAATTAAGACTGAGTTTTGGGACGGAGGGTGTACTATTTAATATTCTTTTCATTTCATAACAAATTATATCTTTGGGGAATGGTTCCAAATCAACGCTCATAATATATACTAACATTGCATATTCTTATTACTCAGCATATGTTGTGTGTAACAAAGCCATGTGTTTTTTATAATTATATGTGTGATGTATAAGAGTATTTCATGTGTTACAATCAATTGTTGTGTGTTATATGAGACTGTGTTGTTAGTTAATATATTGTATTTGTATAATACTACCATATATAATGCGTTGTATGTATATTGTATTAAATATTTTTTATCTATTTTTAAAATGATAAATAAATATATTTTTTATTTATTTGTATTATATATAAATGTATTCTCTAAAAAGTAATATTAATATTACATATATTTTATTGAAAACTTCTCTCCGTCCCCATATAATAGTCTTGTTTATCATTTTTGTTCGTCTCAAGTCTTATTTTTATCAATAACTATATCATCATAAAACTACCCCTACATTTTCATTTTTATTACACAATTGTCACTACTTTTTACCCTAATACACTCACAAGGACAAAAAAGTATTTATATCCATATTTTTTACCAACTACTAGTATAATATCACTATTCCTTAAATTTCGATCCAATTAAGATTATATTTATGGGACAGTGGGAATATATTTTTTTGAAATATATAAATACACATTCTAACTTTTTTTAATTATATATTAATTTATATTTTAAAATTACTATCAGTTATAGTAAATAATAAACTAATATTATCATAATTTATTACTCCTTTCATCCTACCAAATTGATTATTTTTCTTTTGAGCATGCATATTAGAAAATATTGTATTATGTAGTTAAGTAATTTTATTAGATGATTTAATGTTTGTAATAAAGTATTCTTTTAAATATTTTTATTTTGATAAAATAATAAAATAAATGTTAAAATATTTTATATTCTAATTTTTTTAATATTGAATATTTTATGCATTGAAATTATTTTTTATAGAAAAAATATTGTATCTATTGTAAATCGATATGTACAATTAGATAATAAAAAAGAAATTGACTTTAATATTTTTAATGTGATTAATACAATACAAAATCATAATTATAAAAAATTTAATAAACAATACATCAAATTTTTTGAATTTGGTTGTTGATAGAAATTGTTCGTTTTGACATACCGAAATTTATACCACATATTGTATATCGTATCGAAATTTTTGGTTTGATATTTTATCATTCTGATACCATATATGGATGAAAAATTATCGAATTACCAAAATAGCACGCATACCATATAAAAAAACCAAAAATTTTAAATTTCGGTATGATACTTTTTCAGTATTGTAACAATATACAATTTGATATTTTTAATATATTGATATTTCGGTATGTACCGAATTTTTTGTACGGTATCGATAAACAAACTAAAAAAATTGGTACGGTATAATCCGGCATTTTTGGTATACCTTACTGAACTAACTCTAATCAAATTGTATATACGCTATCAAAATATATAATTTTATGCCGAAATACTAAAATGAAAAGTAATTTTATAATCTTGGGCGGCAAATGAATTTATTTTTTTTTTTTTATTCTTTTTAACCAAATGATAATATTAATAAATTTAAAATCAAATTTCAATGAATTTTCTAATCATAAAATATCAAATCAAATATTATATTTTTTATATTATATTAAAAACTAATTTAAAATTTTAAACATTACATAAATATCTATTTATATTATATTAATTAATTATTTTAATTTTTATTAGTCAAAATTCTGACTCAACTATTAAATTTACAAGCAAATAAAAAATAAAAGGATAAACTGTTTTTTTTTAGTACTGTAACTAGACTTCCTTATCATTTTAGTCCCGTAAGTGGAGCATGTCGCAAACTAGTCCCATAAGTGAAAATTTTTCGCTGTTTTAGTCGTCCTCCGGCGCCGGAGATGCCCGCGTGGCTCGCCGGAGGTGACGTGTCCGCCAGGTGTTGTTGACCTGGCGGACACGTGGATTTTTTTATTTTTTTTCATTTTTAATTTTTTTTTAAAACTTATTTTTAATTTTTTTTAAATTTTATTTGTATTTTTTATTTTTTTATTTAGTCCAATTAAAAATAAAAATTTTAAAAAAATAAAAAAATAAAATAAAATCCACGTGTCCGCCAAGTGTCGCTGACCTGACGGGACACATGCCGGACACGTCACCTCCGGCGAGCCACGCGGGCGTCTCCGACGCCGGAGGACTAAAACAACAAAAATTTTTCACTTATGGGACTAGTTTGCGACATGCTCCACTTACGGGACTAAAAAAAACAGTTTACCCAAAATAAAATTATGCTCATTACAGGGTCACATTTACCTATAGAAGTATTTTGGCAATTTTTTTCTTAATTTGTACTACATTTTGATATAATAATTAATATTCAAATATTAACAAGCAAAAAGTAAATAGAACCCTAGAGCCGGAAGAGGTAGTAAATATTAGTAATTAATAGTACTTCATTCTCCTGCATACTCTGCAGTATTTTTAAAATATGAAATAATTAATGAACTTTATCCCATCACGCTATTAAAAAAAATATGAATATACATTTTTCTCTTTTATCATATCATATAATTTTCACTTTGTTTTATCCATCTAAATTATTTCTTATCGGGAATGGAGAGAGTATAATATAATTAACTTTGTGATTTAAATTAGTATTTGTTAATTATTGTCTTTTTGGGAAATATAACCAATTTGGTGGGATGGCTAAAAAAAGAAAAATTAGGCTAATTTCGTGACGGAAAGAGTATTATTAATTATTAAACATCGTTTTCTTAAATCAGAGATACCTTAGATGGATGAGCAATCTTATGTATGTTTTGTTGTGATTTGAAATTGATTTTAAATGAAATATTGATTTGAGTTTTTATTTAAATAGTATTTTGACGTAATATTTTATGAAAAAAATAGTATATTTTATTAAAATTTGTAATTAATGAATGAGATTCATTTTGTTTTAGTAACATTTCTCAATTGAATAATTTTTCATAAATATTATTAAAAAAATACAAATATACATACAAATTAATCCATTAATAAAAAGTTAACTATTCAACACATAATATTATTTTTATATTACTAATATAATTTTCTGTACCAAAAAATCAATTGTAAAAAAATATTAAATGAAGAGACGGATTGATTTTGATTTAATATACTAAAAGAACAAAATATTTATTAGGCGTGCTAACATAAATAAATAAAGTGTGTTCGCTTAATTATTGGAGTATTATTTTTTCCTTTTTGTTTTACTATTTAATTATCATATTATTTTATAAAATAATATTTTTAAAAAAAAATATTATATCCAAACTATTATTTAAATAGAAAATTAAATAAAAAAAAATTTATCTATTAAGTATATTAATTTGCAAGTTAGATAATTAATAGATATACTCCCTCCGTCCTTTTCAAAATGGACTCTTTGGAATTTTGTATAAATTAAGAAATAATATGTAAGAAATTTTGATATTTTTTTAATGTATAAAGTAATTGCATGTGTAATAATATATTTGTAATTTTAAATAAAAAAAGAGACATATTTTGTTATTAGTGTATGATTACTTTTACTAAAAATATAAAATGATACTTTCGAGCTAAATGGACCAAAATAATCAAAATGATAATTTGAATTATAATTGATTGAATAATATTTAATATTTAAAATTAATATTGAATGGGATGCTTTTAATTTATTGTTAACTCACACGGCAAAAAAACAACTTGCTTCTAAAATGAAGGATGTGTTTACTTGTGCAATTCTGTTTTTAATTTTACTATTTCAACAATTACTTTTTTTCCAAAAAAATCAAATCAAACGTCTAATTTTTATTTATTATATTACACTAAAATTTAATTTTACATTCAAAATATCATATCAATACATATTTATATCATATCAATACATATTTATATCATATCAAACAATTATTTCAATTCAAAATTTT